CCTTGGAGTCCTGGGAGCCATGTTTTCTAATATGGAGGCCTCGGGGCCCTTCCCTGGCCAGGTTTCTTTTGGTTCTTTCCCTGCTGCAGGAGCCCTCGGGGGGCTTTCGGCCCATCGGGCTTTCCTGTAGCTCCTGCCGCCTCTGGGGGCGGTGCCGCCGAAAGTATGCGACCCACTGGGGGTGTGGTTTTCAGAGAAACTATTTCGCTGGTTCCCAGTTCACCTCTGCCGTCGACGTCGTCTGGAGACAAACGTTGCGAGCTGGGGGAGCTGTGGCCAAGAAACAATCCTGCTGCACACTGTTATGGGATCTCTTCAAATGCTTCGAGCTTGTTCAACTGACCACGCTCCTTCAGCGCAGCCACCAGTACAAGTTTCCCGTGCAGCTTGCGAGGCTTGCTGTGCGTGGATATCGGCACGGCAGGTACGATTCTCTGTCAGGCCTTGTGGTCGGCCTTGTTTATGTTGACCGGGGTGTCGTCGCAGGCTGTGGTTTCGCAACCGCGACGGTGCGCGTCAGTGCCATCGCTGCGCTCGACGCGCTGAGGCTGCCCCCAGGTATCACCCTTGACGTCTACATAGACGACTACGGCCTCAGCTGCATTGGCGCGAGTGCCTGCGTGGTTGAGCGCCTCCCTGAGGCCGCTGCGAACCTCAGGGAAGCCATCGAGAACGGTATGGGTGCGGTTATTTCGGTTGACAAAGCTTCCCTCGTTGCCTCGTCGGATGCGCTCGCTACTCAGGTCAGAGACTGTCTTGGGGGGCTTGCGGGACTTGTCGTGCAGTCAGCCGTCGGCTTAGGCATTGATGTTTTCCCCTGGTTGCTCCCGACAGGCCCCTAGGAGAGGTAAAAAGGCTACCGACCGCAAGAGGATGTCTGACACAAAGCTCAGGGGGCTCAGGAGGGCCAAGCGTCCCCATAGGCAGGCAAGCTGTCAAAGTTTTTGCCGCTGGTCCCGTGCCTAGCTTGACTGCTGGTGCCGAAGTCCACGGTGTCTCCAGCTTTGAATGGGAACGGCTGCAGGTCGCAGCCGCAAGCACTTTGCAGCCTTCTGCCAAGATGAGGTCACGGACCTCGCTACTCATTCTTTCCCGGGACCCGACCTGGTACCCCGCCGTGGCGCCTATCGTGCGCTACGCCAAGGGAATATGGGCCAACCAAGCTCGACTTTTCCCGTTTGTCATTCCTTGGGCTGAGTTGCGGGCCGCCTGGGCCTGTGCGTGTGTGTGGGCCCCCAAACCTGGCGGGGAGTGAAGGGGCCTCTGGGGGCCATGGAGCTTGCCCTTGACCGGATTTCCTGGAGCATGCCTAAGTACTGCACCCTCCTGGATGGTTTCGGGGCGGAAGTTTCCCTCACTGTCACTTCCCCCGCCCTTCTGAAGAAGCTTCTGAAGGCCGCGGTACAGAGGGCCCACGAGCGAGCCAGCGGCGCCGCCTTGCTTCCTCACTCGCCTGGTGCTCGAGTTTGTCACGATGTTGTGGCAGCCGCTCTGCGCTCCAAGAAGGGCACGCCTATGCAGCGAGGGTGTGCCAAAGCTGTTGCTTGTGATGCCACCTGGATTAGGATGAGAGCTGCCGAAGCTGGATACGGGGTCGACACGACGTGCGACCTCTGCGGTGTTGCGGCCGATGCCATGCTTCATCGGCTCTGGTTCTGCTCCGCGTGCCATGACAAGAGACAGGAAGTGATTGACAGTTTCACGGAGAGGTTTACCCTCATGCCCCCGTCAGACCCGACCCGTGACAAGGATGATGGGGGTTTCCTGCTGTTCACCAGAGGTCTTTTTCGGCATCCTGGAGATGTTTTTTCCCGTTCCTGTTCGGGGCGACGTTGAGGATATTGGCCTTGAGGTTATAGGGGCCCGCGGCCGTTCCTGCAGGCCCCTCGATATCCCTGGGCGCATTTTCGTCGATGGGTCGCGCGCCACTCATGCCGTCAAAGAACTCGCCAGGGCTGGGTGTGGAATCGTGGTTGTAGGGGGTGACGGCGACGAGGTTTGCCGTATCAGTTGTCCCTTGTTGGCCCCCGACCTCCAGACTGCCCGAGGGGGGGGGGGGGGGGAGTTTGGGGCCTACGCTGTTGCTGCGATGCGCGCTTTGCCTGGGGGCTCCATCTACTCCGATTGTAAAAAACGTAAGTGGTTCAAGCGAACGAACCTCTGATGCGGGCCCTGTCTTATAAGCGTGTGTGCTCTGGGTTTCTGCCCCCCACCCATCGGAAGTTGGCCGAGGGAGTTTTCAAGGTCAAGGCCCACGTTGAAGAATCTGGGGGCCTTTGTCAGAGTTGGAACGATTCTGGAAGCTGGGCAATGACCTAGCTGACAGCGTTGCCAAACCAATCGCTCGTCAGGCACCCGCAACCCGACCCGTGCGATGTCGTGTGGCTTGATGGGTGCCTGTCTATCGCGAAGTGCGGTATGCGCCTTCCCGCCGGGCTTATGCCAATGTGGCCCAGGCTCGACCTGAAAGGCGCCCCCTTGGCCCCTGTGCCTCCGAAGCCCAGGGTGGATCCCCAGCCTCGTCGATGGGTTCGGGTTTCCGATTCCTGGCGGTGCTCCAAGTGTCTCAAAGTAGCCGAGGGAGTACCTCGCTTTAGTCCTCTTGGCGAAGGGAAGATCGGAGGCCTACACCCACCGCCCCCTGGCGAGTGTCTCAGAGATTCCAAGCTTGAGGCGGCGACCCTTCGTGCCCTCCAGCACAATTGTATTGCTTTGCCTTGCTCGGATGGGGCTGTGCTCACCATTTGTGTGCGATGCTATGCCTATTCTTCCCATGGGCTGCCTCGCAATGTATTTAAGGAGTGTGATGGCTGTCCCCAGAGTGCTGGGGACAAGTCAGCCTGGATTTCTGCGGGCGCTGGTAAGCACCCCGAGCGGCGAGGCGTTTCTGTCTAGGTCGTTCCCTGGTATTGCGACCTGGACTCAGAGGAGCTGCCGCGGCGCCTCGCCGACCTTGAAAAGGAGGTGCGCGCTGCCTGTCTTGTGCGTAGGCTTATTGTGGCCGCTGGGGGAACGCCAGGCCCACCACTTTCCGCCCCTGTGGAGGTTGAGCCCCCCTCGGCACAGGCTGCGCAGAAGCAGGGAGATCGGGTCGTCGTCAGACCGTCGTCGTCGAGTACCAAGCCTGCTCCTGTGCATGTGACAGTGGCTTCTGACCCGCTAGAAGTGGAGGAAACATGCTTCTCCTGACAGACTCAGCTGTTTGAAGCCTGCTCCCCCCGCGTTGGAGCGGAATACGGCGGGTCCTTTGATCGTTCCGCCCAGTTGGCCATAGGGCCGTACCTGGAGGGCCCGTCACGGGGGCACTGGTTCGTCGGTTGAGTCAGTCCCACACCAGGGACAGAGCTTGCTATCGTCCTGGCGTTCGTTACACCAGGGGTAGTGCAGCCGAGTCGTCCTGGCGTCGCCTTGTGTTTTTGTCGTGCTTGTGCGTGTGCGCGTCTGCTCGTGTGTCAGGCACCCCAGTCGTGGGGGAAGGTGCGCAGCGCGCGTGTTGCGAGCTGGGCGCGGGCCTGGCGCGGGGGCTTCGTCGCCCCGACCGTTGCATTGCCCAGTTTCCAGTTTCGGCTTCGTCCTGGCTTCGTTACACCAGGGACGTGTGCTTTCTCGCGGGTGCGCCGTGTGCGTTTTGCTTGCGCGTGTGTCAGGCGCCCCAGTGTGGGGGAAGGTGCGCTGCACGTGTGGGCGGTTCTTTGCGTTGGTGCGGGGGCGGAGGTCGTCGCCCTGACCTCTTCCCCTCCGTTTGGGGGGTGGTTTCCCTGGTGCACGGCCAGGGGCCCTCGCGGGCCCTGGCGACTGTTGCGCAGGTGAAGTCAGTGGGAGCTTCTCCCACTCCCCTTCCGCTCAGAGCCGTGGGGGCAGCCTCCCTGGGCGCAACGCCGCCCAGGATGTTATTGGATGCGCGTCGGGCCCGCCCCAGCCCTCGAAGAGGGAGGAGCCCCACGCGTCGCCCCATCTGTGGCGCAGTCCGACGACTCGGACTAAGAGATGCTCCTCAGGCTTCCCTGCCCGAGTAGCGTCTCGGCCTCGACCTCACTTCTTATAAGGTCTTGGCCTTTGGGGGGCGGGCGGTTAGCCACAGGGGATCCTCCCCGTTGCGGAAAATCGTTCCGTGGGTGTCGCGCCCGCCCTCCCATTGCCTCTTTTCATACTGCTTGCTGGCCTGCCTTCGTCCAGGCCAGGGAGCAGGTGGCGACGGCGGATCCGTCGTGTGTTGGGCATGGTTGATGGCAAACATCCTCCTCCGCCTCCTCCTCCGCCTCCTCCTCCTCCTCCTTCGTCTCTCCCCCTCCTCCTCCTTCTCCTCCTCCTCCTTCTCCTCCTTCTGCGTCCCCATTCCTCTCCTTCCTCTGCTCTGGCCGAGGCCTCGACTGGGACCGGTGCGCGGCCGGCTCGGGAAGAACACGCGTCGACTACGCATTTACCAACTCCAAGGCGGAACGATTTGCCACCAATTCGTCCTCCTTCGGCCCCGCGCAGGGAGGGGTAGGGGGATGGGGGGAGGCTTCTTAGAAACACCCCTGCGTCTTAGAAGGCGCGGGCCTTATCTGTAGATGTAGGGCCTGCGCCTTCCAAGGAGCAGCCTGCTGTTAAGAAGCCTCCCCCCCTACCCTTACGCCTTTGTGCGCGCCGCCGAAGCGTGGCCCCCCAGAGGTCTGGACCCCTTCCCCGGGACCAGCTTTTCACCTTCGGTCGCTCTCTTAGCGGTCCTGGGGCCCGGTGAGGTCCCCCCGAGGGCGAAACTGCGCAAACATCAGTCGTCGCGGTTTTTTTGTTTTTTTTTTTTTTTTGGTTTTTATATATATATATATATGTATGTATATATATATATATATATATATATATATATATATATATTATATATTTCCCCCCCCCTTTTCTCCGCAACGAGAGGCTGTCGGGGCACAGTGGAACATTTCCGGTGCGGGCGCGGCGGGCGAGGGCGGCCGCCGCGCGGCGGCACGCGAGACCGCTGCCCGGACCCCCTGCGGGGCGGGGAG